TTTGTTAGAAACCCTGCATACCCGGTCGTCTTCGGTCGGTGCGCACCTGCAGCTTCCCTTCGATTGCGCCTAGGCCCCGTTGAAGATAACGACCGCCGTCGGCGACGTCAAGCCCCCGCTGGGATGCCTGGAAGACTTTAGAACTAAACCCTAAAATGCTTGAACTTCGGGTGGTCTTGGGGTGGGCTGTCTGCTACGCACAGGTGCGAGCGGCTTGGGTGTGCACACACCAACGAGCACCCATGACGTAACCACACCCTAAACCCTAAACCCTAAACCGAGGACGGCTTACCTTCACGGGCCTCCTGTTATCATTGCGTACCCCAGGTTCCCAGCGCCGGCTGGGCCATGGCAGAGGGGTACTGGGGCTTCAGCAAAGCAAGCTCAGCTGATGGAGCTGCTAGATCCGAAACCCCATGTGTGTACATATATATATATATACATATACACACACACACACATACAAACAACATGCTCTAATGGACACTGGCACCCTATCTTTTCTATTGAGCCCCGGCACAACACGCAACCTCAAAGGGAAACTCTCAACCTTGAGCCCTAAATCCCCGAAGGGATAAACCCCCAAAGCCCTAAACCCCAGAAATCCCAGAAACCCCAGCAACACCGGAAGCCCCTAGACCGAATACTCCGCAAAGACGCGACTTCAGGAGCTACTCGGGTCGCTGACAAAGTTGGACTACCTGGTGAACAACGCCGGGACGCAGCTTGGCGTGTGGTGCTTGGGTTAAGGGGGTTACAGGCCTAGGCCTCAGGTTTTAGGGCGTGTCGGTTTGGGGGGCTTCAAGTTTTGGGTGGTTTTCGTTGTTTCAGGTTTAATTCGGGCTTGAAGGAAGACACGCGAAAGCAGATTCATGGTTTCTAAACCCCTACACCCTAAACCCTAAACCCAAAACCCCTTGAACCTTAAATCGCAGCCGTTGCTCTGCATTGGACTTGGATGGTCTTTGCAAATGGCAAGACCGTTCCCCTTGATCCCTTAGGTTTAAAGTTTAGTCAGTACCAAACTGCAGACCCATGCACAGTATCGATAGTGGTGCTTGTGTCCCAAACAGGAAGCGATTCGTCTTGAGGCGTTCATGCGTTTTGGATTTTTAGACTTTCACAGGGTTTGAAGTTTGCCGCGCGAAGCTTGAAAGTACGACGCACTGGATTTGGTGCGCATGCTTTGGGTTTAGGGTCTCTGGAGTGCATATGTGCGGGCGCATGGATCCTCAATCGTCCGGTTAAGGCCTTTGCCTGTAGTCTCCTTGGTGGTTCCTTGCTTTGGTTTACGGTAACCAATTTCATATTCTCGATCCCAAGAGGGAACACCAAAGAGGAACTACGATGGAGACAACAGGTAACCTCTCTAGTAAACAAGAATCTTGGAACCAGAAAAGCCCTACATATAGACCGTAAATAAAATCCTAAATCCTAAACCCTAAGCCCCAAACCCTAAACCCTGAACCCTAAACCCGAAACGACCCAAGGGTGTCTGCGCAGGTACAACCACCCCCATGCCTGCACCAAGCAGGGCCTGGAATGGCACATGGGAGTAAACCATCTTGGGCGCCTCGACGTGCTGACGGTTTAGGGCTTAGGGGTTTAGGGTTTAGGGGTTTAGGGGTTTAGGGTTTAGGGGTTTAGGGGTTTAGGGGTTGAGGGGTTGAGGGGTTTAGGGTTTAGGGTTTTAGATGAGAGATTATGGTCTAGAGATTGGGGGTTTGGGGATTCGAGTAGATGAGATTCGATGAGATCATATGAGACTTGATTAATGGATTTCGATCAGGAGTGATACTAGGTTCGATCTTCAGTAGGTCTGATTCGTCACAAAGATAGAGACATCGGGCGGCTTGTAAGGGTGGGGGGGGGGGTTGGGGGTTAGAGCTTGAGGGTTTAGGGTTCAGGGGTTTCTGGAGGCTTGTTTGTGCGGTGCAGCTCAAGAGGGCTGACATGGTTTGATCTGCTTCGTGAGTCTTTCGTGTGAAGGGATATGTGGGTATCATGCGGCATCAGATGAAAGTCCAAGTCAGCATTGCCACCTGGCTTTTCAAGACGACGCATCAAAAGGTTGCCGGTCTGGCGATGCTGGAGCGAACAAGATAAAGACATTCTGTGCTGCGGTACGTTGCTCCTTGTAATGGATATGGGGGGTTCCGGAAATAGGGGACCCCAATATAGTACCCTAGATAGTAGGATCCTTATCATAGTACCCTCGATAGTAGGATCCTTATTATAAGGACCCCAAACTAAGGTAACCCTAATTTTCGGAAAGTGCCATATCGATTCTTTTAACCAAGGTCTGGGGCCCTCAACCCTGAACATGTACAGTGCTTCGTCGTCTTGGCAGCATTGTGAATAGACATCTGCTTGTACCTGGAATCTAGCTCCCCTGAAAATTCCCTTAAATTACTACCTTTACGTCATACCTACAATGTTGTATACTATCTTGTACGAAACTACTTCATAGCATGCTAGATTATGCTAAAACCGCATAACTTCCTGACTCCGTCCGAAGCTCTCCATTCAGGGCAGTTCTCTTCACATTGCTGCTGACACCTCTGCTTATCAAGTCTGCGCCCGCCCGAGTGGTTCTGACTTCGAGTGCCTTGGACAACTGGTTTCTGTTTTCTTGGGTCCAGGATTTTGCTGTAGTTTAGGGCTTTGGGGTTTTTCGGTGTAAGGTTTGTCTTCTTTGTGTGCATCCGTGTTGTCTTGGTGGGGTTGGTTTCATGGCTGCAGGCAGTTTAAATTCATTGTTATGTCGAATTCCAAACATGCAGGGCATAGTGCGGCTTGCACTTCTGTGAGAGTTGGGGGTTTTAAGACGGTGGTGGTTGGATTTCACGTTGCTCAGCAATCGCTGATGCAAGGGCACAGCAGAAGCAGAATCCCCATTCTGAGATTCAACCGAAAAGCCTAAATTCACCATGCCAGACCAATGTGTAGACCAACCTCCGACTTCTGTACATGCAGCATCGTAGCTGTAACTGGTGGCCGAGCAAGTTGAGCTTATCGTGACTCCTGGTTATAAGACGGCATGGAAGGCGAGCTGGCTGGTAAGAGTCCCAACTTCCGAGAGACTATTGTCCGACACACCATGTGCACACGATGACTCTCTAACCTCAAAATCCCGAGCATCTCCGAGCGCCTAACAAATTCCCTAAATATTCAAGCCTGCGCCCCCACACAAAGACCTCAACCCACCAAGCCCTAAACGTGCTCAACTCCCGAAACCCTAAACCCTGCCCAAAAACCCGGAAATCCTAAGGCCCTAAGGCCCTAAATCTCTGAAGCCCAAAAGCCCTAACCCCCCTAAGAGCCCCAATGCAGAGGTGCTTTGCACTACTCCACCGGTGGCCGGGGGCGAAAGCTTGGATACATCGACTGGGAGGAGTGCCCAACTTCACTTGTCCTTCTGAACTCGATCCTAGAAGCCTAAACCCTAGAACCCTAAACCCTAGAACCCCAAACCCTAAACCCTAGAACCCTAAACCCTAAACCCTAGAACCCTAAACCCTAAACCCTAGACCCCTTCCATCCCTAAGCCCTGAACCCGAACCCGAAAGCCGTAAGCCCTGACCCGTAAAGATTGAATCCTGAACATCAAAAGCCCAGAGCCTAAAAAACCAAGAAAGCCTCCAGGAAAGAGCCTTGGGTTTGGAGGGCCATATCCGACAGCAGTCATCCTCGAAAAGTCGGCTCTCATCTCTTTCTTGTCGTCTTTTTTTCCCCAGAGAGGGTCGAGATATGCTACCATCCTTATGGTTTTGGGGTTTAGGGTTTAGGGCTTAGGGCTTAGGGTTTAGGGGCTGCCGGACCTCAGTCCATCATAGTAGTCCATATGCACCCTCTGGGTTTGCTTGGTTCAGTTGTGTCACGTCTTCGGGCGCAACCTGCTGGCTGCAGGATTGGAACTGGATCACACGGAATTATGAGCGTGAGCTGGCCATGACCCAGTCGATGCTTGCCAATGCGAGATGGCGGCATTTATACCCGGGGGTCAGGCGGGAGTAGGTGCTGTGTTGAAGCAACACATTGTGTCAGCAGAGCCCACGAACCTGCAGCGAACGAGCAAGACAGTCGCGGAGGCAATTCCGCTCGGACTGTAAAGAGGCCTGAATAAGTGGTACTGGTTCTAAGCCTCTAAGCATCTTCTTTATGGTTCCCTATTCTGCTTACACAACGTAGCCCCAGGCCCCTGTACCAGTAGATCTCTCCAAGATTGCATCCGAAGTCAAAATAAAGTCTCTTTGAGCTTTCTTTCGTTGAGGTGATGTGGGCTGCGGAGTATGCTGAGCGTTTTGGCCAGCAGGGGATCACCGCCGTGTCCGTGCACCCAGGCCGTTGGAGAAAGATTTCTCAACGAGAGCCCAACACAAAGCCCTGAACCCTAAACCCTAAACCCCAAACCCTAAACCCTATAAAATCCCTATACAATCCCTAAGCTTAAACCCTGAACTTCTAATCCCTTCTATAAGCCCCTAAGCCAGTCTGGCCCTGGGCTCCGAGATAGAGCGCTCTCACAAAGAAACATGGCCTTTCCTTCTTCTCTTTCTTACGAAGTAGAGAAGCGCCTTGTCAGCTTTCTTCGGCCGGGCGATCAGAACTTGAAGAGCAAAGAGCCCCTAAACCCTAAACCCTAAACACTGAACCCTAAACCCTAAACCCTAAGACATGCTTCGACACCGCGAGGTCTGCCCTTCACAAAGGTCGCCAAAGTCTATCAGAAGAACTTTTACCCCTAAATGCAAGTCCTGTGGCCTAAACCCTAAAATCCCAAACCCAAAGCCCTGAAAAAAACAGGCCTAAACCCTGAACCCCCAAACTCTAAATCCCAAACCCAAAGCCCCCAACCCTAGACCCCAAACTCTAAATCCCAAACCGAAAGCCCTCAACCCTAAAGCCTGAACCCCAATCTCCTCGTGAGGCTGCGTGTCTACTGGAGCTCAACGTCACATGCTGGGCGAAGGTTGCTACGTGCCTTAGCTGGTTTCTCAACCCTTCACCCCCAAAAACCCTATACCCTAAACCCTATACCCTATACCCTAAACCCTATACTCTCAACCCCAAAAACTCCTATAAACCCTGAACCCCCAAAACTATACCCTCAAACCCTAAACCCTAAACCCTATGCCCCCAACCCCAAAAGCCCTACAAGCCTATACCCCCCAAACCTACTACATTCCCTCTTTCGGTACCTCCGGGGAGCTAGGGGTGGACGGGTCTCGGTTTAAGGGTCTATTCAGGGTTCTCGGGTTTAGGGTGGGGTTGGGGTCAGCGTGCATTCAGGCCTAAACCCCGTAAACCCCATAAGCCCTATAAACCCTATAAACCCTATAAGCCCTATAAAGCCCTATAAGCCCTATAAACCCTATCGATTCTATCAAAGCCAGGAAAGTTCCCCTGAGACCCTGAGAGCCGAAGACCCGAACGACCTCCGAGCCTGAACGGCAAGGGTTTCTGGGTCCTTGTTGGCTACAACTTTACATCTTTGTTATAATCAAAACCCAATAAGGATTAAAAAGCTACAATCTTGCATTTTTGCCCTTCGCAGGTTTAGGGTTTATAGTCCCGATACCCTAAACCCTAAACTCTACATACAGTTGTACTACAAGAGGCGAGCTGCTTCAATTGCTTCTTGAAGTGGGGGTTTATATCAGATATCCTTCTCCTGATTATGCTTGTGCCCTGATGACCCTAACCCCTAAACTCTATGAGCTACTTTGGGGGCCCCTGAGAGGCGAGCTGCTTCAAGTGCTTCTTGAAGTGGGGCATCAGAATGATCGATGTCTGGCCGGGATCCCAATCGACTCTCTACGCCGTGCTCTCCGACGACGCGCCTTCGGTGGCAACTCTTGTAGGGTAATGTAGGAGCCTTAATAATTAGAATAGGGTTTTAGGGGTTCCTTATTGTAAAATTAGTATAATATACCCCCCAAACCGTATTCTAATTATTAAGGCCCCTACATTAACCCCAAGCC